GATTTGTAGTTAATATTATATGTTACAACTAAATCGAATAAAAGGTTACCGTCCTTTAATCTAGTCTTTAAAAGGGGATAGTTAGTAGGAATCTGTCAGATAATATGAATGTGTCTTTTAGTCTGCATTTTCCAAAATATAAGGATGTACGTTTTTTTTTATCATCCTTAAAGGTTAGAGTCAATAAGAGCTACTAATACAAAATGAGCGGACATTTCATTCTGTTATTCACGAAAAGGTATAAAGCTTTTTTGACGTCTTTAAAAAATAGCAGTTAGTAACATAGAATAAGGGAACATTTACAAAATCTTCAGATTATAGTGACTTTTAATCCTGTCTTTAAGAAGGGTTTACATGGTTTACTCTTCATTTTCCAGATTGAGCAGACTTCAGCTTTCTTAGTAATTAATAAATTTACAGCGAAAATTTTAATTAATAAGAGCGGTGGGATAAAATGAATAAACATTTCTCTCTACATTTTGCAGAATGTGCTGGTTTCAGCCTCCACATATTTTTGAAAGATATTAGTTATTAGGAACGTGTCAGCGTTAATAAAACTTGGCTTTAAAAATTATAGTTAAGACGAACGTATCAAATAAAGTGGATGAGAATGTTACTCTAAAGTTGCCATCAAACGGTGGTGTTAGTCACCTATGATATCATACTTGAAACCTGATAGCTAACAGAAGCGTTTGTTATATGAAATAAGCAAATTTTTAATATGTTTATTACATAATCTGTAAGAAAGGATGCGGGGGTCTTTTATTGTATGTTCGAAAGATGGTAGTTAACAGGAACGATAAGTTAAACCGACTTTCAATCCTTTTTTCTCTATTTCACAGTTTATAAAGGTGTCATCATCTTTTTATCCCATATTTGCAATATAATTTTTTATTAGATGTGTTGAATATTTTCCTTTATTTTGTACTGAATTTGAAAATTTCACTTTTTATTTCTGTATTTAAAAAATAATCGATTTTTGATATGCTTGGTTGGTTGGTTACAGTGGTAAACCATTAGATAACTTCCATGTACCCTAATAAGTCATTTTTCGCCATTTTGTTACCACATTCCTCACAAGAATTCCTGATAAAGAAGAGTAAAGACTAAATCCATTCCGTCATATTTAGATAATTCAATAGGTCCTTTGCTTTTCCGTTGAACAGTCTGATAAACTATCAAGGACGTATGTTCCTAAAAACATATTTATTCTGAACGCCTAAGCCGGGCATTAACTGAGAAAATATTTTATGGTTTCTTCTTCCTGCAGGATTCAACAACATATGCAGTGAGTATTATGAGGAATGCGATTATTGATATGACTTCAAGACTGTCTTTTTAAAGTAAACACTCATGCAATGTTTGTAGTCTCGTAACCAGATGGAGTGTTTCGAATGTTCTTAAGAACTGAAGCAGTCTGATTAGATGATAATCCATAAAAGAGGCCTGATTCTCTTAGCGATATTAATGCATATTAAATTAATTTTATGATCATTTTAAGCTAAAATAATTTTCATAAAAAATGCATCATTAAGAAAATAAATGTTTCATAATTCTTAAAATTAATCCTCCCCTTATTGGAAAGAAAAAAACGGCAACAAATGCCTAACCTGTCAAAGATGAAACACAAATTGTAATGTTTGTGCAGCACATTTAAGTGTGTCGATATATCTTTTCATACTCATTTCTGTTCACTTTATCTTAACTTACTTAACTCAGATATATCGTATTTTATATATTGTTAAGTCATAATAAAAACACCCTTTTTAGCACTTTAGATGAAACGACCTTCGGATACGTGTTGATGGCACAAAGCAGCTACCTTTTCTTTTCATTTCGATACAAAAAACTACATTAACAATAACAAAACAAAAAATGAGCGAAGAACTTGAATTATTGGTTACTATGATACCATGTTACCCATGCTCAGATACTCAGATACTGAGATACTCGTACGTTAGCACAGTATTGTTGGCGTACTGTAAAGCACATTGTAATTATAAAAGTAATAAAGAAAAAATATTTGATGCCACATTAAATGTTTGCAGTACTCAGAGTTAAGGCAACAATATCAGTAAAGTAACTATTAACACAGAAGATATGAGTTTTATGTAAAAGAATTTAAAAAGTATCTATGCTCATAACATAATGTATCTGTAACTTTAAATGAATGCGTGTGTGTGTGTGTGTGTGTCTGTGTGTGTGTGTTGAATCGAAAGATTAATGGCTTAGAATTAGCTACTGTTTTTCCGACAACAACTTGTGCATTGTTCTTATTATTGTATCTGTTTTTGTTACTGTTGTTATTGTTGTTGTTGTTGTAGTTGTGGCTATAGTTGTTGTTGCCGTTTTGAAGTTATTGTTATTGTTATCGTGTATTTTGTTCTTTTAGCTGAGGCTGGTGTAGTTGTTTGGTGATGGCATTGTTGCTCCCCTTTATGTTTAGTTATTTTTAACCACAGTTTAAAGTCTAAAATGTGGTCATTAACTTTTCAGTATCTTTTTTTTCTGCTTGCCTGCCTGACTGCCTGACTGCCTGCTTACGTGTATATTTTTATATGCATAAGCCCACCCGTCCGTGCGTCTGCACGTCTGAACAATCAACCAACCAACCCAAACGAACCATACAAAACTCTAGTACTTATGTTATTATAATCGCATTCATACATTTAGAAGAAATTCATACATTCATATGTATATAACTAGATACTCGTATACTACTAGATACATATGAAGATATCTATTTGTACACACACGTCTGCTTAAGTTCGCTGCACAGTTTTTTACATTTCATTTTTCAGTTTGCAGTTTTCATTTTTCATTTTTAGTCTGAGTAATGCGATTTTTTGCAATTTTATTCCAACTCATAAAAATTGCTTATGTTCGGAATTTTAATTTAAATCTCTGCTCGCACATTAATTTGCCGCAATTGACTTAGTGACTGACATAATAGAATTGTCAATTATTTTTCTATTTTGCTCTTCATATCAACTCATATGCAAACATTTTTCAGTAAAATTCTTAAGTAATTTTATTTTATTCATATTAAAATTATTTTTAATATTTATGCATGTTGCATTGTCGTACATAGCATGGGAAAATTTTTTGAAATGTTTAAATAACCATTATTTAATAAATGGGTTATAGTAACAAATGTGTCACCTGAGCAATTCCGTGAAGTGTTTTTAAGGGCATTTAATTCGAATCAAAATATTCATAGTACGTGACTCTTTTATCAAAAATTATTTTTTGTACGATGCAATATAAACATTTTCGATTAAATAATAATAGTAAATATTGTTGTTTTCTGTTATACGACAACTCTTGTTTACACTTGCAACTAATTAAATAATTAATTAAATAAATTTTTTGTTATGTCATGCTTTAGTTTTAATTGAAGATGCCGCGTTAAGTGCTAATAAATCGATTAATAAATTATTCCCTAGGCCCGAACGAAAACAATTTTAATAATCTAACACAGAGACCTATAGAATATTAAAAGTTTCTGATGAAACTTCTAGAAGTGCCTTTTATTTATGTACGTAATTTTAATAATTACTTATCAATTTTAAATTTACAACAAATAGTTTTAATTTAATTACGTGCGTTTTTGGGTGAGGTAATTCAGTGGAATTCAAAATTATGTGAAATGCATAACAATTGAGCCCTTTTAATAAATTCTTCTATAAAGAAATATAATATTTTTACGTAAGAATAATTGTTAACACTATTTTTTATGCAATACTAGTTTATAATTTAAATTATTTATACAGTAAAGAAAATATTAAAGGTGTAAGATCTCTAGCTGACATATGAGAATATTCATTAGAGCTGATAATACCCTTTCGTTTCCCATAATTAACGATTATTAATCGCTTTACAACCACATTCTACGCAAAAATTCCCTATATAAAGACGGAATGCATCCTGTTGAGTTTATGTCAATTATAGTTCCTGTAACAGAAAACCCTTGCAGAAAACCCTTATACGTAAGCTAGATACATCCTGTTGAATTTATATAGTATAATAGATCTTTTTTTCCGAACTGTTCCACATTCTTTTGCAAAAAATTTCTTTTACATAAATTAGATTCAGGATTCAGTTCAAAAAAATTAACAGTTCTCTTGACAATAGACATTTCCTATTAAGACTTAAGTATATAACTGAAGAGTTCCCCAATACTCCTTTGCAAGAAATTGCATATAAATTGGATTCATCCTATTCAGATTAAGAAAATTAGCAATTATTTTGATCTCAAGTATTCCTTATTAAGACTTTATTAGACAACTAAAGAGAATAATTGGTGTCTATAACTAGCGTGAATATCCATTAAAGTTTCGTTAAATAGCCCAAGAAAATAACTTATATCAGAAAAGTAGAAAATATTCATGCACATACCCTGTAGGTCACTTTTGAGTCATTCGTGAAAATTTAAATAGTAATTAGTCAAAAGTTCGTTATTTTCAATAAGTTCAACGAAACTAATGCATCAAGACTTAAGCTTTCGTCAAACTAACTATTAGTAGTTAACCAACTAAATTTTTAATTTTAATTAAATTTAGCAGATTATGTTTTATAAATTAGAATGCTAACAGTTTAGGTGATTTATAAGAGATGTAAGATCTATATTAAAAATTATGTATATGTTTTTGATAATTTCAATAAGTTGAATTTATAAAGCCATAATCTTTTAATTATCAATAATTCTTTCAATAAGACCTAGATTAATCTTTACTTAATCATATACCGAAAATTTAAAATAGTAATGTAAAATATACACAACTGAAGTGATTTTCAAAAATTGTTTTAGGGAGTTAAACGAAAGAAAGAAAAACAATGCGGAGATTAACGTTTACAATGTACTAACATCAGTAGTAGGAAGTCCAGAAAGAATTGGTTT